GCTTGAACTTCTTCCTTCATCACCATAGGCTCTTGCTCAAATTTTATTTCCTTAAATTCTTCTGTATGCCAATTCCTTTCGATACAATGACTCAGTATATTCCTTCCATCTTCTTTTAATACCTCCTGGATCATTTAATGTTATATTACAGAAACTACTGTTTTACTCTAACATGTAAACTACCTGATTTTTATGTATTTTTTATGACAGAATGATCTTTTGTCCACTTGGATATTTGAGTGAATTGATTGCAGAACAATTGCACTGAAACTACTTCCTCCATGCAAAATGTTATTGTATCTAGTTCTGTGAAGTTTTCAATATTCCCTTATATTTTCTTGAAATGTTTAATCACAGTAATGTAAAATTCTTTGTCCTCTACTGTGATTCTATATTTGACATTCATATACCTGATATATCTGATATTTACACCTCAACCACCTGGTCTCACCTCCTCATATGCTGTGGAACAACACCTACTGTTCCACCATGTCCTGACTGTAAGATGAAGCTCCAAACATCTATGCTTTCTTAGATTGTGACTAGGTCCAAGTAGCCAGGATGTCTTTTAAAATAGGACACCAATAAATAACATGGATGACTTCACAAACATTGTGTCCTTTGTGTGTCCAGAATTGGGCACACATTGGCCACAGTAACTTTTGATGAATCACTATGATTATACAATACACGAGCAGAAATATTCCATCATTAGCAGTCCCTATGACTCAAGTTATCTGAGCAGAGATGATGATATCTTCTCATGCCCTGCTCTGTGACAGGATTGAAGGACTTAAAGGGGAGCCTTGTAAATAACCTTAAGAAGAATGAGAGTCCCAGAACACCTAATTTTGTTCACGTAAAATCTATACGTGGACCAGGAAGCAGTCATTTGAACAGCACAGGGAAACATTGTATGATTCAAAATCAGGAAAAGTGTGCATCAAGAGTGCATCCTGTCTCCATTTCGTATCTTTTCAATCTCTATACAGAACAACTAGCTCATTTCGGAGCCTGGATTTTATGAAGAGGGAAATGGGATCAGGATTTGTGAAAGATTCATCAACAACCTGCCTTATGCAGATGACACAACCTTGCTTGCCAAAACTGAAGAGAACCTGAAGTGTTTGCAGAAGAAGATCAAGGACTGCAGTCTCTAATATGGATTTAAGCTCAACATACAAAAGCAAAACCCAAAACCAAAGGGTCTCAGCTCCAGGCCAATTAATAGTACCATGATGATAGAGAAGAGATTGACATTGTTAACAATTTGAGCTAACTTGTCTCCACAATTATTAATAGGCACCAGCAATCAGGAAATAAAAAGATAAATTTCATTAGATAAATCTCTTAGGGACCTCTCCAGAGTGCTGATGAGCAATGATATAAGTCTAGAGACTAAGGTGCACCTTTCCAGGCCATAGTCTTCACAATTACTTGCTATGCGTAAGGACGACAGAAGAATTGATGCCTTTTATTTGTGATGCTGGAGAAGAGTCTTGACCATACCATAGACTGCCAAGACAATAGATCTGTTCTAAAGAGGGTGAAACCAACTTATTCCTTGGAGGCAAGGCTTTTTTAAAATTTTCATTTATGGATTTGCAGATAAAATTTGTATACATTGTGTTTAACACTATTTTTCATTCACACTGTGTTTCATAGAATTAATCCCATTCATTGTGGAGGATTTTTTATTTTGTTTTTTTCTTTTCAAATAAAATTTTTACTTTTTATTGATTTACTTACAAAGTTTGTATACATTTTTTTAAAACCAGATCTTTCCCATTCCTTTTACTCACTCCTCCTCTACCCACATCAAATTGTGTGACCATTTGATTACCACTTGTCCATCCTCACCCCTCTGCTCCCCACCTCCCCTCCTTGAATCCTCATATACTTTTACTAGTTATATTTCTATTTCTATAATAATGGTCTTACACAGCATTTGTCCTATGAGACTGAGTTAGTTCACTTAGCCTAATGCTCTCCAGCCCCTCCCAAGGTAGGTAGTGATTTTCAGAATCATTGGTCCTGCATGCTGCATACTATTCCATCCTGTGAATGTACCATAATTTCTCAATCCATTCAATTGTGGTTGGACATTTGAGCTGTTTCTGTGTTCCTGTGATAGAGAAAAAGGCTGCTATTAATATTGGTACACGAAGCTCTGTTTATACTTCAGTTCTAATTTTCTTGGGGTATATTCCAAGCAGTGGAAGATCTGGGTCATATGGAATTTCTAACTTTAGCTTTTTGAGGAAATGCCAAATTGCTTTCAAGAGTGGTTGTACCATTTTAGAATCCCACCAACAATGTATGAGAATTCCTGTCGTGCCACATCCTCTCCAACATTTATTGCTGTCCTGTTAAACTTTGCCACTGCTACTAGACTTTGCCACTGCTACTGGACTGAGATGGTATTCATTGTGTTTTATAAAAATACATAGTTCACCTTGGAACTTTTTCCACATTACCTCATCCTTTCAGATCCCTGACAGATCTTTCACATTTCCTTTACTCCCTCCCTCCACCCACCAAATTGCATGACCCCATGATATCCCCCTTACTGTTCTTACCCTTCTGATCCCACCTCTTTTCCACTAGGACTTCCAAACATATTTAACTAGTTATCTTTCTATTTTTACAATAATGGTCTCAAGCAGTAATTGGGCTTATGAAACTTAGTTCACTCAGAATAATGCTCTAGCCTCTCCCAAGTTTTGTAATAGTTTTCAACATCATTGCACCTAGTGCTGCATAGTATTCCATGATGTGAATATAGCACAATTTCTTGATCTATTCATTGTGGTTGGACATTAGGGCTGTTTCCATGTTCTTGTGGTTCCATAGAGAGCTGCTCTGAATCAGAACTGACTTCATAACACTTAACAACAACATGTAACCCAGTTTGTACTTATCCATTACTTAATCTAAGATCATTGGCATCATAATAGAAAGGCATAGTGATGTTGTTATTGTCGTTATGTGCTGTTGAGTTACTTGTGACTCATAGCAACCCTATGTACAACAGATCTGAACCCTGCTGTATCATGTGCCAACCTTATCTCTGACACATCTACCCCCATAACCCGATTCACTGAGTCCATCCATCTCATCAAGGTTCTTCCTCTCTTGCACTGTCCATCCACTCTCTCAAGCTTAATGTCCTTCTCCAGGACTGGTCCCTCCTTGCAACATGTCCAAGTATGTCAGGCAAAGCTTCAAAATCCTTGCCTCCAAGGAGCAGCCTGGTTTCACCTTCTCTAGGACAAACTTGTTTGTTCTCCTAGCAGTCCATGGTATCATCAATACTCTTCTCCAGCACCACAGCTCAAAAGCATCAATTCTCCTTCTGTCATAACTGGTCATTGTCCAGCTTTCTGAACAGCTTTGTGAAGACTATGGCCTGGATCAGGCACACCTTAGTCTCCAGACTGGCATAGTTGCTTTTAGTACTCTGGAGACGTCTTTGACAGCAGACTTTCCCAATGCAATTCATCTTTTGATTTCCTGGCTGCTGTTACCAACAGTGCTGATTGTGGAGCCAAACAAACAATCTCAATCTCTTCACAATCTATCATGATGCTGCCAATCAGCCCAGTGGTGAGAATTTTTGTTTTCTTGATGTTGAGCTTCAATCCATACTGAAGGCCTTAACCCTTGACCTTCTGCAGCAAGTACTTCAGGTCCGCCTCAGTTTCAGCAAGCAGGGTTGTGTAATCTGCATAATGCAGGTTGTTGATGAGTCTTCCTCCAATTCTGATGCCATATTTCTCCTCACAAAGCCCAGCCTCCCGGATGATCTATTCCACCTCAAAATTGAAAAGATATGGAGTTAGGATACATTCCTGGTGTACACTCTTCTTCCCATTTGCCATGTTTCCTTGCTTTGTTCTGAGGACCATTCCTGGCCAAATATAGGTTTCACATAAGCACAATCAAATGTTCTGGGATTCCCATTCTTCTCAGAGTCAACCATACTTTATTGTGATCCACAGAGTCAAATGCCTTTTCATAGTCAATGGAACACAAATAGACATTCCTCTGATACTTTCTGTTTTAAGCCAAGATCCATTTAACCTTAGCTATAATATCTTGCTTGCACGTGATATCAATGATATTACTCAATAATTTCCACACTCTGTCATGTCACCTTTTTTTGGAATGGGAACAAATAGGGATCTATTCTACAGTTGGCCAGGTGGTTGTCCTCCAGATTTCTTGGCACAACTTGGTGAGTGCATACAGGGCAGCGTCTGTTCGTTGAAATATGTCAATTGGTTTGTCGTCAGTTCCACAGTGCTATGATTCCATATGCATGACAGTCAGGAGAAACCAAGACAGGACTTCTCTGTAATACAGGGCAGCACCGTGAGATCGCATAGACTCAAGGGCTACGTCATCAGGTTTGTTTTGACAATGAACTTTATAAGACTTAATCTCCTTCACTTGACTTCTACTGTCTGCATAAGAGAAGCTGAATACAGAGCAGTGTTGATGGAAAGCATTTCACTCTGCTCCATGAGGACCATCTGGAAGCTACAATCTGTTAACCAAGTGTCCTCCATCCTAAAAAACAGAGGAAAAAGAGATAAGAAAATGCCAATCTTTGAAAGGGACTGACTTTGTTTTGACTGCTGCAGTGCCCATTTTCATCTCTTGATTGTTCCTGGCAAGAAGCATGCATAAAAAGGTGTCTGTACTAGGAACTGCTGGCCCACAAACATCTGCTTGTAATTATTGCATCTCTCTATTCCCCAGGGGAAGCTGGAAACTCTTAACAAGGAAACAACTGCTTCCCTGGAAAAGGTGAAAGGCATTAGGAACAATTTCGGAAACGATGGTCTCTGCACTTAAGAATAATTAAGATAAATACTACGTTGAACCTCAGGAGGGAAATTTAATAAAATTGTGTAAGAAAGGAAAAGGCATAATTGCAAGTGCCCCCTTTTGAGCCATTGGCAGTAACTGGCTACCCCTTTTCCTCTTTGTCTCAGCACTTCTCAAGCCGTCTGCCTTGCTGACCAGCCGAAGCCTGTGAAGGAATACAAGTATCCGGAGAAGTTGCCGGGGGAGCTTTATGACGCTAACACCCAGTGCAAGTGGCAGTTTGGAGAGAAAGCCAAGCTCTGCATGCTCGACTTTAAAAAGGCAAGTGATCTTTGGCACGTGCTCAATGAAATATGATTCATAAAAGCACTCTGTTCAGTGTAACTGACATTGATGTATTCTTCGTTTATTGGGTACCTACCAAGTGTCAAAGCCTCGATGTTTGGGCTGGTCCCAGATAACAGGAAACACATGTTTTCCTGGCAGAGCAGAAAGCAGATACAGTTGTGGATATCAGTTTCACTGGAGAAATGACTCATCGTGCGAAGTTGGAGTTCTTTTTCTGTTTCATCATGCTGGACTTCAGCAAGACTTTTTTTTTTTTGGTTGGTATGACTTGGCAAATTAATATTCTGCATTTTTCAAATGGTATTTGGAAAAATTACTTCCTTTTTGTACAAGCATTATGGCATTGATCTCTCAAGGTCTTTAAGTATTGTTGTTAATTGTTATGTGTCGTCAAATTGCCTGTGACTTGTAGTGACCCTATGTACAACTGCCCTGAACCCTGCTCTATGCTGAGCCAACCTTACTGACTCTGATACACCCTCCCCAATTAACCCTGTCACTGAGTCAATCCATCTCATCAAGGGTCTTCCTCTCCTGCTCTATCCCTCCAGCCTCCAAAGCATAATGTCACTCTTCAAGGACTAGTCTCTCCTTGCAACATGTCCAAAGTATGTCAGATAAAGCTTCAGAATCTTTGCCTCTAAGAAGCCTCCTCGTTTCACCCTCTCTAGGACAAACCTGTTTGTCTTCTTGCAGTCCATGGTATACTCAATACTCTTCTCCAGCACCACAGCTCAAAGGCATCAGTTCTCTTTCTATCATCCCTAGTCAGTCTCCAGCTCTAAGGCTCACCTTATAAGGTGAGTTTAAAATTACTTTGCAAGTAATTGCAAAGACTATAGCCTGGATAAGGCTCACCTGGATAAGGCTCAGTCTCCAGTCTGACACTATTGTTCCTCAGTTCTTTGGAGAGGTCTCTGACAGCTGACTTTCCCAAAGCAATTCATCTTGCTTTTCTTTTTGCGTCACATATAGTCCCCAGGCTTAAAATCCAACTTAAGGACAACGCATAATTTCCCTTTAGTTAAATCCAACCCAATATTCACCACAAATTCATTATTACAGTCACCCTCACTTGCTGCAATTGCAGCTTTTAAAAGCGTTGAAAAGGACCTAAGCCATTAATTACTTCACTGAGTCGCTTACTGGTGCCACCGAGTCACTTCCGACTCGCAGTGACCCTCCATCAGGTTTCCAGGCTGTACATCTTTATGTGAGCAAACTGACTCCTCTTTCTCCAAGAAAGCAGCCTGTGGATTTGAACCACTGAGCTTTCAGCTAACAATCCAGTATTAAATCACTAGCCTTACTAAGGCTAAATAAGAATCATGCGAACCTCTTTTCATTTACCTGCACATTAGATATAAAGACACATTTGGATCTCATTCTCAACTTGGGAAATGCCTGTAGTTTTTCACAAAAGGCAATATCCACTCTTTGGACCCAAGAGACACCACAAACATTATTCCCTAATATAAATTCCTCCTAAAACTCAAGCACATATATTGTTACCAGACAGAGAAAACAGAGAATGAAGGAACTTACCCTCCTGAACCACAAAGGGAGGCAATCCATAAAGTAAATGACAGCAGCTATTCACGAGAGTTCATTTCCACAGGTGGGTAATGAAATCAAGAGGGCAATGGGGGGAAAAAATAAAAGACCAAACCCACACCATGGAGCCCTCTGGGAACCTCTGCACGTTTTAGAATGTACTGGGAATACTCCCAACTTAAATCTGACGTGATAATCTTTTTGTTTCTAAACTCAAGTTGAGCCTATCAAGTATAGCCATGGGCCAGAACTGGAATCTTATCAACTTGTAATCTCAGTTTGGAACAAGATAATAAATCAGCTAGCATCAGCAGATATACCTCACGTCCATGTAGCATTTTCTGTGGACAGGATGTGTGAACTCTCCAAGAATTTGTGTGTGTTACTCCCTGTTAACAAAAGTAGCATAACATTCAATGTTTTCTTTTCAAACATGAGGTTTGTTTTTTTTTTTTTTTGCCTAGTGCTTCCAGTTTCCACATGATCTTACTTTTATGACCTGGACACTATGACATCAGAGCCAAATTTCTGACCTTGACTATATCCCACATGAATTTCAAGAACCACTCAAAAATATAGTTGATGTGTTGTACACTAATGACTGAAGACCAGGCAAGTTGTGAGATGATACAAAGGACATTATCTATGAAGAAAGCAGAAGACCATTAAAAAAAGACAAGAAATAAGAGACCAAGACCAGGGCCCTCCAATAAGCACAGCTGAGGATCATTTCTGGCTCCTGGTCACCCTCCAGTGACATTCCAAGACTATAAGCCTTCACAGGGAGACACTACCTATCTTTCCTCATTGGAGCAGCTGATGGATTCATCCAACCATTCTTCAGTTGTCTGGCTGATGTATGAAGCACTGCATAACCAATGCTCCAAGACAAGATACCAGTTAACACACCTGAGGGCTGTCAGAAGGAGAGCAAAGCTACGATTCTGTGAATTGATCCTAACAAAATAGGAAGTGTGAGAACTGTGGTTTGTTCCATATTAACAAGATGATTCACTCGAAAACTAGCCATAAACATGACGCATGTGCCTTCTACCCCTTTAATGAAACTAAGGAACCCACTAAGAAAACAGAAAGTCAGTGATGCTTCTACTGTAACTGTGTAGGTAGCATAACATTCAATGTTGTTGTTTTTGTAAAGAAAAACCATGAGATTTTTCTGGGTAGTGCTTCCAGTTTCCTCAGGAGCTTCCACGGTCCTTAGGAACCAGTGAGGCAATGCTGGCTCGTAACAACACTGTGTATGACGCACTGAAAATTTGCCCCTCTTGTGCCATGTTCACATTCCCCCATCACTGAGTCAGTCCATCTCATCAAGGATCTTCCTCTCCTTTGACCTTCTACATTTCCAAGCACGTTGTGACTTCGCAGGAACTAGGAACTTGCAGCAACCTGTTCAAAGTAGGTGAGATGAAATTTCACCACTGATCCCTGTAAGGAGTACCTTGGCTTTACTTCCTCCAAAACAGATGTGTTTGTTCTGTTGGCTGTGTATGGGATATTCAGTCATTTTTACAGCACCGCAATTCAACAGCATCAGTCCTTTGATCTTCTTTACCCATTGTCCAACTTTCACATAAACATGAAACAATTGAAACTATCATGCCTTGGGTCAGGAACATCTTATTAATAGATGGACATTGTTGCCCTTTAGCTCTTTGGAGAGACTCTTGGCCACACACTTTCTCAAAGAGTCGTGTCTTTTGATTTCTTGGCTGCTGCTACCAGGGGTGTTGATAGTGGATACAAGTAAAGTGAAATTAAACCGTTGACAGTGTTGATTCTTATCTTTCTTACCTCCATTATATGTTGCCACTTGGTCTAAGGATGAGATGGATTGACTCAGTGCCTGGAGTAAAGGGGGTAAGTATGTCCGAGACGGTGAGGTTGGCTCAGGATAGAGCAGGGTTCAGAGCTTTTGTACACTGAGTGGATAAAAGTCACTGGCAACTTGACGGCACATAACAATGACAGCAACAACATTGGTCTAGCAGTGAGGATTTTATTTTCTTAATGGTGAATTGTAATTCATACCGAAGGCACTAGTCTGACCTTCAGTAAGTTCTATAAGTCTTCTTCACCTTCTATAAGCAAGGCTGATCATCTACATGACCCAAGTGACTGTTGATGGCAATCCTGATGTTACATCTTCTCAATACAGTCCATCTTCTCATATTGTTTGCTCAAAGTACAAATTAGATGTGTGAGATATGAATGATGTTGTTGTTATGCATGTCGAGTCATCTGTGACTCATAGCAACACTATGTACAACATCTCTGAACCCTGCTCTATCTTGAGCCAATGGGAGAAGCCAGAACTTCCACTCAAGCAAATATATACACACCCATGCTTATTGCTGCTTTGTTCACAATAGCAGAGAGATGGAAGCAACTCACATGTCCATCAACAAATGAATGCTATATTCACAGAGAAGCTGTGGTATATTTACGTAACTATACAGCACCGAAAAACCAAAAATTCATAAAATATTATACAACATGGATGACCCTGCAGGACATTATGCTGAGTGAAATATTTCAGTCACAAAATACCAAATACTGCATAATGCCACCATTATAAACAGGACTGACATGGGGGTTGGGAGGAAACTAGGAAAAGAGGGGATAAATAATTAACACTGCATTGGAACAAATGAAGGAAACAACTATTTAAAGAAATATTTAGTCAGGGGTTATTTGCATGACAACAGTCCAAAAAAAGAGGTGCATAGCTAATGGATTGGAGGAGAGGGATGGAGGAAATTATGCAACAATGAATGAATATTTTTTAAAATGTGCAACAAAAAAAATGAATGGAAATCCACATTTTCTGTAAACTTTCATTAAAATCACAATAAAAAATTATTAAAGAAAAAAACACAACAAATGATCCTGAGACTTTTATTTGTTCCTAGGTGTCCCTGAGTTGGTTAATTTTGACTCAGATGAAGAGGTAGACATGCCCTATATGGTTTCCTAGCACTAATTAAACGGAGACTGCTCATCGGGCATTTTTTTTTGTGGGATTAGTGGGTGAGTTGAAACCTCTGATCATTTGAATAGCAGCCAAGTACTTCAAAATTGCACCATCAAGGTTCATAATTAAATTTAGGACAAAAACAAAAGAAACCGTTTTGTGAAGGTAAAATTGTAATGCTGTTGCTAGGTGCCATGAAACTGGCTTCAACTCATAATAATCTCCTGTACAACTGAGCGATTCTTGTCCTGACCCTGTGTTTTCCTCGCAAACTACTGTGCTTAAGCCCAGTGTTGCAGACCCCCTGCCAGTTCTTCTCATTGAGGGCCTTCCTCATTTTTATAGAACCTGTATTTTTCAAAGCTTGAAGTACTTTGTCAAGGACAGGGCCCACCTAGTAATATCCCCAAAGTCAGTGAGACAAAAATCTCACTGTCCTTGTTTCTAAGGAATTAGCTGTCTACACCTCCTCTGGGACAGATTTGATTGTTCCTTTGGTATTCCATAGACTCTTTGATAATCTTCCCTTAGCGGCATAATTCAAAGGTATCACTTGGTTTTTTATCTTCGTTTGCTATTCATAATTTATCTTCTTTTTTCCTTATGCATTATGGAATTTTTGCATGCATATGAAACAAATGAAACCATTTAAGTCAGGTGCACCCTGCTCTTTAAAGTGATGTACTTGTTGCTTGAGGTACTTGACAGCAGGTTTATTCAAATGTCATTTGGTTTCTTGACTGCTGCTCTAATGAGTGTTTATTTTAGATCTAAGTAAACTGAAATGAAGTGCTTAACAGCTGTACAGTTTTTTTCCATTTATCATAATAGTGTTTATTAGTCCAGGTCTCTAAAGTCTTTGAGTTTCATCAATAAATTATAGTAGATTATTTGGGAAAATATAAAAGATTAATCAGCACATCCTTGCAGAAAATCTGTTTGATTTTTTTTTTAAAAAGTCATTGGAATATGGTGTAAAAGCACAAAATATAGAAATAGCATCGTTTGCACAGAACCTTGTTGAAGCACTTTACCATATTCCATTTTCTTATTTTGACATATCTCAAAATATTTCATATTTGGTTCTAGAGCAATGCAACAAATGGAATAATGTTTTAAGTATAGTTAGCCATACTTTTTTTGTATGTTTTCCAGGACATATAAAAACTATGTTGACACTCTACTGCAGTCTACTGAGTGTAAATAGAAATAGTTCTAACTATTATGAGAATTATCACAATGTGACAAAGTGACATCAAGTAAGCACATACTATTGGGGAAAAGGGTGTCAATAGACTTGTTTGGTCTAAGTCTTCAATTTGTGAAAAATACATTATTTATGGGGTTGAGCCCTGACTTAGTCTCCAGTTTAGATGCTCTCATGTGAAGCAGTTGGATTCTGGAGGGTGAGTTCCCTTGTTTTAGTTCAAAGTTGGGTGTAAACTGGTTGGTTTTTATTTTATTCACAATCTTGTGTGAGCTGATTTGGTTTACTGGATTTAGCTAACAATCACCTGTGGGCTGGAAGCCTCTTGTTTAAAGTCAACCAGCACCTGGTGGATCGGCCTTTGTATTTAAGTCAGTTGATCTCTGACTGGTGTTAATTGTGTTTGAGAAGAGCATTCTCCTAAGTGGTACAGCACTGGTCTGTCAGTTTATTATCCTGAGGTAACTTGGAGTTCCAGTGATGGTAAATGCTTTATCACTGGTGTGTCAAAAACTGTAATGGTTGCTTGTGGTGAACAGTGTTGGTGGAGCTCCCAGATTAAGAAAGGCTTGAAAGCAGGATTGGTATCCACTTCCTAAACAACATGCCTTTGGAAACTCTATGAACTTTAGAGAAATGATGATAGTTATAGAACAGGGTTTAGATCTCCATTCATCAGATTGCGATGAGTCATGCTTAACTTGACAGCACTTTACAACAACAACAAGATTATTTATGATATGGAATAAAGTATAACATTACAAAACAAGGTATGTCTGTAGTGTGACCCACCCAGTACATGTGGCTATGAATCTTTCGGGAAACAATGCTGAAATTATGTAAAAATTCAGAGCAATCATGGGAACACATCTAGGAATGTTTTAATCATGCACAGTTAAAGCCAAATAATAGCCAACAGGTTCAATCACTGCACAAGTGCTACTGTTTGCCCTTGCTAAGAGTTTTCTGTCTCAGTGGTAAGGAATTGTGCTGCCAACCCAAGGCACATGGTTCAAATCCACTAGCTGTTCCACAGAGGAAATATGGACAATCTCTTCCTGTGTGATTTACTGCCTCTGAAAACCTGATAAAAGGTTAGTTAAGAGTTGTTTCTAACTCAAAGAAACAGAGCATAACAACCAACCAGACTTTTATTTAGTTTCAAAAGGCCACTCTCTCATGTTGCTGTCAAGTGGGAACCAAGTCACCAATGATCTTTCAACAGGCGTTCTAAGGTTGTAAATTGCATGATGACAGACCACCCCTCTGTACCCTGCAAAGCAGCTGGTGGATTTGAACCAGCAGAGAAACTCTATCATTTGGGTTAGTAGCCCAACTCCCTACAGACTCACGCGGACTCCCTCAAACAAGATAAGAAAGTTAAAATAACTCGTTGTCTTTACAGATCCTTTATAAAGTTTTTACTTTATAAAATTTATAAACTATAAAGCTTGTCAACTGCTGACCTTGTTCTGTTTTACAGGTCCATCAGCCGTGTAGGTTAAGCCAGTTCCCTTGGCCTCTCCCTTCCTTTGAGAGCATACACACTTCCTTCCATCCTGGTTAAATGCTGTCCCTTTGTTTTCCCTTGGCAACTCTCTGTCTCTTAAGAGTTGGCTCATTTGGTTTCTTTATCGTATATTTCAAGCAGTGGAATTGCTGGGTCAAATGGAATTTCTATTACCAACTTTCTGAGAAAGTGCCAGACCACCTTCCATAGTGGTTACATCATTTTACAGTCCTACCAGCAGTGAATAAGATTTCCAATCTCTTTAGAATGTCACCAGCATTTGTTGTCTGTTGCCCTGTTGAACTTTGTTATTGTTGCTGGGGTGAGGTGGTATCTCATAGTTGTTTTGATTTGCATCTCTCCAATAGGTAGGGATTTTGATAATTTCTTCATTTGTCTGTTTGCTATCTGAATGTCCTGCGTGCATATCCATGTTTATTGCTACATTATTCACAATCGCAAAGAGATGGAAGCAACCCAATTGCCCATTGAGAAATGAATGGAGAGGAAAAACTATGGTACATCCACACAATGGAATATTATGCATCATTGAAAAACAATGCAATAATACAACATTACACAACATGGGGGAGCCTTGAGGACATTATGCTAAGTGAAATATCTCAGTCACAAAAGGATAACTACTGCATAACATCTTTTTCAAAATAGGGTAGGTGTTGGGGGGGAGGTTGGAGAGGGAATGGGGAAAGGGTGGATACATAACTGAGCACTGCATTGAAACATACATATGAGGAAAAGAACTGCTTGAAAGGAATATATGAGTATACATTATATGAAGACTGTTTGGGACAAGTGGACCATTGTAAGGGGCTAGGGGAGGGAAGACAGGGTAAAATGGGCAAGAGTGAATAAATTTTAATTTTTTTTTAAAGAGTAATTTTAAAAAGGAGATGGAGGTTGACTCATGTCTTCTCTGATCTTTTCCCTAAGTGCTACAGGTAAAGCCTTTTCTCTTTCTGGTGAGCTTAACCTATACTGTGCCCTGTGCTCTGCTGGTCATATGTGGTTATTTAAAACATGATTTTTCTTTACTAAAATGTCAGTATTGCATTCACTTCTGAAAATGTTTGCCCAATAAGATATCCACCATATTCTAGGTTTCACAAATATTAGCTATAGTGAAAGATAGATTGGTGGATGAATGGATGTGTTGGTGGGTAGATGTGTGAATTGATGGATGGATAGAAGGATGGATGGGTGGATGGATGGATGGATGGATGGATGGATGGATGGATGGATGGGGTAAGTATACGTATGTATAAGGAATTAGATGAATAGGTGGATGAGAGAGTGAATGGATAGATAGGCAGTTGGTTGTATGGACATGTTTCATAATCATCCCTAACTCAAAATAAGGATTCAAATGGAGCAAGATTAATACAGAATGAGGATGACTGAACTATGGAACAACAAATTTTCTTTGATTCTTCATACCTCTGAAACTCTAAATTAAGTGTACTTTACTTTTTCAGTTAGATTAGAAATATTATATAATTATGCTAAAACTGGTGAGTAAACACAAATAATTAAAATGTCAAGGGTGGAATTAGAACCAAGTACTGTGGAATTTCTGGATTTTCACTCTGTCACTTTCATCTGTATCTGAGAGGATACCACCTTTTATAATAGCTATTTGCCCCTCAAGTCTTCTGGTGTTGCTTTGGAATAAATGTAAAGATGGCTCATTTGTACTATTAATGACCTGTTTCCCCCTTTAGGACATCTGTAAAGCCCTGTGGTGTCATCGGATTGGAAGGAAATGCGAGACTAAATTTATGCCGGCAGCAGAAGGCACTATTTGTGGGCATGACATGGTAAGAAGCTGATCATAGGTTTGGGGCATCGACTCATACATCTCTTCTAGCCTTGCACTGAATGTTTTACAGCTTATCTTTGTACACATACCTATTACTTTAATCATCTAAAACTGACATTAAATAACATTCATTTTACAAAGAGGGCATTTTCCTTTCTCAATTTTCTGGTGATATAATTGATGAGTTGTCTGATGTGAACAGACGCAAATATCAAACAGTAGGTCAAGACTCTGATTCTTTTCAGGACTTGCTGTATTACAGTAATTTATTTTGGAACCATTTAAGCATAATACAATTTAGCCATGTAATTTGATTATCTAGTGCTGCTATCAGAGAAATGCTCCAAGTAGATAGCATTTAAATACCGGTATTCTTTCATTCACAGTGTAGAAGTGAGAAGCCCAGGTGGACAGTTCCAGCCCTAAGGGAAGTCTTTTTCTCTCTTGGCCCTGGAGGAACGTCCTTATCTCCTTCAGTTTCTGTTAATTTCTTGGAAATTTCCACATGTCTTGGTATCAGTCTTGCTTGGATACAGGATTTTCCCATTTCAGGAACAGAGGACTGAAGTCTGTACTCTGCTCCTGACTCATCTTTATTATGATGGCATTAAGTCTTCTCTCCATTTGCTTTCTTGCACCAGCCATCAGGAAACCAAAAGATGAATTCATTAGGTAAATCTGCTGTCAGGGGCTTCTCCAGTGTTCTGAAGAACAATGCTAGTCTAGAGATTAAGGTGTGCTTGTTCCAGGCTATGATCTTCAGGTCTTCACAATTATGAGTTATTCATTAGAGAGATGGACAATGGCTAAGGGTGATAGAAGAAGAACTGATGAAGTAGTAGTGCTAGAGAAGACTATTGAACATTCCGTGGACTTTCAAGAGAACAAACAGGTCTGTCTTGGAGAGGGTGTAAAAAAGTTGCTCCTTGGAGGCAAAGATTTTGAAGCTCCATCTGACATACTTTGGCTGTGTTGCTAGGAGGGACCAGTCCTCGGAGAAGGACATCATACTTGGAAGGGTAGAGGGACAGTACAGAAGAGGAAGCCCCTAGATGAGATAGATTGACACAGTAATTAGAAAAATGGGGTAGGTGCATTGGTCACAGTGAGATTGGTTAAAGAAAGGGTAGCGTTCTGAGTTATTGTGCTTAGGGTGCTATAAATCACAGTCAACTCAACAGCACTTACCAACAACAACAACCACTTCTGTCATTGCAGTTGTTTGATGTCATCAAGTTGACTGCAACTTATAGCTAAACTGTGAATATTGGCTGGGAGCAGAGAGTCACAGAAAGATAGTTACTTGCATTTTACTGACTATGCAAGAGTATTTGACTGTGCGAGCCATAACAAATTATAGCTAACATTGAGAAGAATGAGAATCCCAGAACACTTAAATGTGCTCATGAAGAATCTGTACTTTGGCCAGGAAGCAGCTGTCTAAACAGAACAAAGAAATAGTGCATGATTTTAAAACAGGGAAGGTGTGAGTCAGGGTTTTATCCTTTATCCATTTCTACTCAACATATATGCTGAGCAAATAATTCAAAAGCCTGGACTATATGAAGAAGAATGTGGCATTGGGATCTTAGGAAGACTCATCAATAACCCACATTATCACGGAGTTGTACAATGTGATAGGTGGAGGGGGCTGAGGGAAATTGGAAGAATCTATTCTGGAAAAACAATGTATTTGAATTTTGTAAGTAAACTAATATAATTTAAAAAATAATTAAAAATAAAAACTAGTATAAATAAAAAATAGTATAATTTAAAAAATAATCTATATTATTCAGATGACATAAAGAAATAATAAAGAAATAATCTAATAATAATATAAGAAATAATCTGTATATGCAGATAATTTTGCTTGTAGAAAGTGAAGATAACTTGAAACACTGCAGAAGGTCAGAGGCTATAGCCTTCAATGAGGAATATACCACAATATCAGGAAAGCAAAAATAGTCAGCACTGGCTGATAGACAACATCATAGTAGATGGGGAAAGATTAAAGTTACCATTGACTTCATTTCACTTAGATACACAATTAATAATTGTGGTAGCAGCTGTCAAGAAGTCAAAAGACATGCTGCATTGTAGAAATTGCTGAAGACCTCCAGAAATTCCTAACGAGAAAGGATGTCAGTTTAAAGACTAAAATGTGTCTGAAAGAAGTCATGGTGTACGTTTTCAGTTGCTGCTGATGCATCTGGAAGTTGGACAGTGAATAAATAATGAGGTAAAATGACTTAAAAAGAACATCCAGTTATAGTTTACCCAGGTTGATTTTTAGGACTATAGCCTGCAATATGGATGACACCTCAGTATCAAGGGGAAAAAAAAAAAAAATCCTTACCACTGGCCCAGAAGGCGACCTTCAGATAGATGGAGAAAAGGTTGAAGTTGTCAATGATTTTAATTTTCTTAAATCCACAATACCCAAGGTAACACAAGTCAAGAAATCAAAAGACGTTGTTTTGTGAAAACTTGCTGTCAAGGACCTCACCAAAGAGCTAAAGAATACCAAAGTCAGATCAACGAGTAAAGTATACCTGATCTAAGCCATAAACTTCCAATTACTTCTTATAAATGTCCTTTGAGAGGGATGTCATGCTTGGGAGGGTGGGGGGACAGCGCAGGAGGGAAAGGTCCTCTATGAGGTGGATTGATTCAGTGACTGGGGTAATTGGGGTGGATATGTCAGAGACAGTGAGATTGGCATAGGACAGATCAGGGTTTAGAGCTATTGTACACACGGTCGTTATGAGTCACAAGTGACTCGATGGCACAAAGCAACAACAAACAACAATGTTTGAAAGTTGGACAATGAATACGAATGACAGAAGAATAATCAATACCTTTGATTTGTGGTGCCGGAGAAGAGTACTGAATCAAACAGATCTATCTTGGAGGTAATACAAACAATGTGCTCTTTAGCAGCAAGGATGATTAAACTTCCAGCTCACATTCTTGGGCCATGTCTTCAGGATGGACCATTCCTTGGGCTCAAGAATATCAAAGATGGTGAAGATGGCCCAGTATAGGGCAAAGTTCAGATCTGTTGTTCATAGGGTTGATATGAGTTATAGTCAACTCTATGACACTGGACAACACCTATCTAATAATGGATGTATGATAACTTTGAAAGAACTAAGCCAAGATGTCTACAACAACCTGACCACTGACAATAGTTTGCATTCCCATCAAGGACAGAAATTCATAGCTGTGTCCTGGTCATCGGTAGTGACTATTGTAGAACTCATTGACCACTTTGTAATATCACTGATGTTCTATGAACTTGGACCACTGTGAAATGAACAAAGTGGTTTTGCTGACATTTTTTTTCTGAAAGTTTTACACAGACCACTGCTTGGTCATCAGCTTTCCCTGTTTTTTGATCTCCTCTATGCCACGCATCCAAGGACTGTTTTCTGAAGCCAGGGCACTGAAAGCATCATGTCTGTTCTTCAGTATCTTGGGACCACTTAGCTCTGTCCACCTCCACCTCCTGGATGTTCTCCATTCTCATCAGTGGCATTCACTTATTTGTCTGGTTTCCTTGTGTGTCCAGATTAACCTTGCCAACTCAAGTTGTCCTGACTCTTGTTCCAGGCTGCTGTGTGTGTCCTCTTACTGCCCTTCAGCAGCCAGGAAAGCCTAAATGTCCAAAACCAAATTTAAGACTCTGACTTCTTCCAGGAGTGCCTTGTTCTTCTAGTGTCAACCCAACCAGGCATGAATATGCCCTCTCCTAACATCTTATTCATGTTGCTAGGAGAGACTATTCCTTGGAGAAGAACATGATGCTGTGAAGGGTGGAGGGTCAGCAAAGGAGAGGAAGACCTTCAACGAGGTGAATTGTCACAGTAACTGCTGCAATGGACTCCTGTGTGTCAAGAAGTATGACTAGAACAGGGTTCAGATCTTTTGTTCATAGGGTCGCTATGAGTCGTGCTTGACTCAGTGACATCTAACAATAACAAAAACATCTTATTCAACATCCACATCAAAAAGTACATATCATCCACTCTTTCCCCCTCTTATATTTCATTCATAAGTACCAAATCATCTCCTTTATCTTCAAACAACATAATTTTTCCCAAAAGTGTTTTCTTATTCAACTCATTGATACTTTCTTATTTAGTATCCTATTACAAAACAACATTTTCTCTATTACAGAACTCTCACTGACCACAATAAGATATCATTTCACCCCAGTAGCAATGTCATAGGTTAAAAGGACATCAAGCCTATGATTAGTCATTATTTTCATGACAAGAGTCCAGAATAAGAGCTGCAAAGTAAAGTGGACTGGGGGCGGCGGGAGGGGGGGATGTGATTGTATAACAATGAAAGAATTTTTTTTTCTTTTCAAAGAGAAAAGCTAACTAGGGGGGAGGGGTGGGCAGGGAAGAAAATATGCAACAATGAATGAATGGAAATCCAAAGTCTCTGTAAACTTACACTAAAATTTCAATTTTTTTTTTAAAAAGGACAGCAAGCAACAACAGTTGGAGAGGATGTGAAGAGATAGAAACTTTCATAGACTGTTGGTGGGACTGTAAAGTTATAAAACCACTCTGGAAGACAGTTTGGCATTTCCTCAAAAAGCTGAACATAGAATTCCATATGATCCAGCTATTTCACTGCTAGGAATATACCCCAACAAAAGTAGAACTGGGACGCAAATGGAGATTTGTACACCAATTTTCATAGCAGTGTTAGTCACAATTGCAAGAACATGGAAACAGCCCAAATGTCCAAGACAATCAAATGGCTTGAGAAATTGTAGTATATTCACAAGATGGAATACTACACAACACTTAGGAGCAATGATTTTGACAGCTTTTATGTAACTTGGAAAGGAGTGGAGAGCATTATGCTGAGTGAACTAACTCAATCTCATAAGGACAAATATTGCTTAAGAGCATTATTATAACAATAGAAGGATAATTAATAAAACATGTTTGAGGACCAAAGGTGAGGAGGGTGGAAACAGAGAGGTAAGGATGGGCAGGAAGGAAATCATAAGGCCACACAATTTTGTGGGTGAATAAGGAGTAAGTAAAGGAAATGGGAAAGATTCAATGAGGATCTGGAAAGACAGAGTAATGGTGGGCATAGTTCAATGCTAACTAATTTTATAAAACGCAATAGAAATTCTATATGACCCAGCAGTTCCACTAGTTGGAATATACCCTGAAAATATGAGAACTGAGGCGCAAACTGAGATTTGTTCTCCAGTGTACATAGCAGCATTATTCACTATCATAAGAACATGGAAACAGCCCCAATGTCCAACCACAAACGGATGGATTGAGAAATTATGGTACATTCGCACAATGGAATACTATGCAGCACGCAGGAACAACAACTTTCTAAATTATTACCTAACTCGGGAGGGATTGGAGAGCATTATGCTGAGTGACCTCAGTACCACAAAGATGAATATTGTATAAAACCATTATTGTAGAATGAGTATAAGGATCCAAGATGGGGTGAGAGAAGGCTGGAAGCAGAGAGATGTGGATGTGCAGGGGGAAGGGGATTAACCATGGGGTTGTACAATTTGATGGGTGGGGGTTGAGGGAAATTGAAATAATTTGTTCAAATTTGTATTTGAATTTTGTAAATAATCTAGGAGTAAAAAAATCAAAGAAAAAGGGGGAAAAGAAAATAAAAAAAATTGTCAAGCAGTTGCTAAGAGTGGAAACATATTATATTGGAGAAATTTGCCATGTAAACCCCCCCCCCAAAAAAAAAAAGCAAATCTCTTTAAGTTGTTTAAAACAAAAAGATCATTTTGAGGATAAAAAAAAATTTATAAGTTCTTTAAAAAGTCAGTTGAATAAAAAAACCCATAGTGAATGAGATTGTGTGAAATACAATGTGGATGAAAAATAATGTGAAACACAATATAAAATAAAAATTAAGAACAAAAACCCCTCTCACTGGACTAACCAAAATGAATGAGCAACAACAATATACCCCTGACTTCTTAATTTCCCTTACAAAGAATTAGCTGCTAACCAAAATATCAATGAGGCAATTTGCATCTGTAAGCGTGAATGGTCTTAGAGCCCAATGGGGCAGTTCTCCTCTATTCTGTGTGGTTGATATGAGTTGGAATTGACTTAATAACAATAGGTTTGGTTTATTTTCATCATAGTGAAGAATCAAAGAACTGAATAAGTGGGCTTTAGTCATCAAAATTCTAAGTTGTTGTTGTTGTTATGTGCCGTCGAGTCATTTGCGACTCATAGGGACACTACGTACAACAGCCCTAAACCCTGCTCTATCCTGTGCCAATCGGCATCTTCATTATTTCTTGGTGGTGGTTGTTGTTAGATGCCATCAAGTTGAGTACAACTCATAGCAACCCTATGTTGTTCCTCAGCTTCACCAACCCTTCACTTTCCCCAGCATCATGTCCTTCTCCAAGGAACAGCCCCTCCTAACCACATGCCCAGTGTATGTGAGGTGAAGCCTCATCATCTTGTTTTCAAAGAGCACTCTGGCTGCACCCTCTCCAAGACATAAGTGTTTGTTCCTTTGGCCATCCGTGGGATGTTCAGTGCATTTCTCCAACACCAATTGTATTTCCTAGTTAAGTTCTGTAATATCAAACATTTAAAGTTACCATATCTATATGTCAAAAATAGTCAATTATCAGTGATTTTATTCTTAGTGACTCCATGTACAACAGTTCTGGATCCTGCCCTGTCCTGAGCCAGCCTCACTGTGACCTAATACAGCAATTAATAGTTTGGTTTTGTGTATAAACTTGGTAAGTAAACCACTATGATATTGTTGTTGTTGATTGCCTTTGATTCGAGCACAACTCATAGCGACCCTATGAACAAAAGGCCTGAAGCCCCTCTATAACTAACAATTAAGTTTTATAACTCAACATTTATCAAAGTTCAAAGAGTGTCCAGAGGCATGTAAGTAAACCAATATAAAATAAAAATGAAAAACAAACAACCACAAAAAATGTTTTGGAAATCCTAAATCAAAAAAACCACCCCAACAGATTCAAACTCATTGCTTGTCAGATCAAAACAGACTCATAGCTCACCCTCCATTGGGTTTTCAGAGACTGTAAATCACACGGGTCAGAGTTCCCACCTTCCTCCCTTAGGATGGTGGGCATGAACTGCTGGAGAGGAGCCCCTTTGTGTTAGAGGTGCAGCCCTCTAAGGACTGGGCCAATGCAGCTCAGGGCCCGGGTTTTGTCTCTAGCTGCACTCAAGTCACTTCTAATCATGGCAGCCTCATGTGTGCAGAAGAGAACTCTGCAGGCTTCTCAAGGCTCTGATCACTGAGAAGCAGAAACCCAGGCCTGTCTTCTCAGGCACGTCCAACCCACAGAACAATAGTCAAGCCTTTAGCCATTTTTGCCACCCAGGAACTCCCAGTAATAGGAGAAGTGGCTTTACTTTTCCCTTAGAAGAGTAGCATTGTTGGGTTACTTTTTTTCTCTCATCAGGAATCTGGGGGGTGTACCCTCAGAGACAGGAAGTTTGGCCTCCCCCACATTCCCAGCAGGCCTGCCAGGTCCTGCTAGACTTATCCAAGCAAAGGGCAAAGGGCAAGCATCCTTCTCAGCTCCTCTCAGCAGACTCTGGCCCTCTGAGATCTTTGAAAGCACGAGAGGAAACACCAGTGCTGTCAATGGCAAAGCTGAGCTTCAGTGTTGTGTGTGTGTTAGAGTGAAGTCATCGCGTGGGTGTTTGGTATGAATTATTACTGAGAAGTACTTCTCCTGTGAGAAAGGGAGCTGATTGCATCTCCGGCTCCTGAGGGATCAACTGGAATTCTAGATGAAAAGCAGTCAAGAGTTGATCGCACTGACTCCAGGTGACATGGCATGAAAGCGTAAAGGCTCCAGCCAGAAACGACAAGGTGTTGAGACACAACGTCCTCTATAGCAGAGTTTAAGACCTCTCTGAACAGAAGATGTGAAAAGCCCATCCTTTTAGGAGCGAGTCAAACTTTCTGACTTGCGAGTGCAGCAATAGATCTGTTTGTGCGATCGTCTTACTTAAATATGTAAAATTCCCTGAGTTCAGTCATTCCTAAATGTTTTTTTTTTCTTTTCTGTGAAATCAAAGACTTGACAGTGCATGGCTCGAATCCTTGGCTGCTAACTTAAAAGTCAGTGATTCGAACTCACTGGCAGTTCCCATGAGGATGGAAGCCTGATGGGATCGTACTACTCTGACCGATAAGGTCGCTATGATTTGAAATGGACTCAATGGCTTGGAGAGTCATGCTGATTCAGATCTGCGGGATGATATTGGGTTTGTTGTTGATGTGTATTGTTAGGTTGGAATCGATTCATAGTTGACCCTGCAGTAGGTTTTCAGAGGCAGTAACTTGCACAGGGAGAGATTACCCATCTTTCTCTTGCAGATCAGATGATGGATTCGAACAGTATGCCTTTGGGTTGGCAGCAAAAATCCTTACCGCAAAAACAACAGAGTTTGGGGGGGAAAAACAAAAAACAAAACAAACCACAAACCAGCTGCATTAAGTTTCCTTTTTATATATGGTGTTTAGAGGTAGTTGTTGCTTTGAGGAACTAATGAGTCAACTCTGACTCTGGTTCCCACCGTGTAACAGAACAAAGCACCCGGTGTTGCGTCAACCGCTATAACAGTCCATCTCCTTAAGGAGCTTCCTTATTTTCTCTGACACTCTACCAGGAATGGCATCCATTCCTGGGGGCTAGTCCCCTTTGATAGCCTGTCCAGAGTATGTGACACAAAGCTTGTCATCCTCATCTAAGGATCCTCTGGCTGCACGACTTCTAACACAGTTCATTTATTTGTTCATTTGCAGGTGTTTAAACTTAATTCTTTTGCTTTCAAGAATAAGTGTGTGTCAGTCTTACCTTCTTGCATAGTTGTTGTTGTTGTAGTTGTTAGGTGCTATCTTCACACCTCCTAACACACTAGAGCCCATTGTAGCAGTCACCATGCCAAGCCACCAATTCACTATTTCCCACCAGCACCAGATTTCAAAGACACCAGTCCTCTTTTGATTTTCCTTAATCAGTGTCCATGTTTAGGAAGAAATTGAAAATACTTGGTTTGGGCCCAGCACACCTCAGTCCTTAAGGTGACACTTTTACTCTTTATTGCTGTGAAGTGGTCTTTCATAGGAGATTTGTATGCTGCAATGTATTATTTTCCTTTTTTTCTCCTGCTGCCATGGGTCTTGATTGTGAATCCAAGTGAAACATAATCCTTGACAATGTCTGTCTTTTCTGCATTTTTCATGATGCTACTTGGTGGGGAGGAATTTGATGTTTGCATCTTGTACAAAGCCCCTTGATACTCAGTTTCATAGCAGTGATCAAATTAATTACCTGTCTGCCCAGGAATCACAAGAATTCATTATTGTTCTTTCCAGTGGTGCCGTGGAGGACAGTGCGTGAAATACGGCGACAAAGGCCCACAGCCCACCCATGGCCATTGGTCGGCCTGGTCTCCCTGGTCCCCTTGTTCCAGGACCTGTGGGGGAGGGGTCTCTCACAGAGACCGCAGCTGCACAAATCCCAGGTATGTACAACACACCCGTCTCTGTGTCTCAAGCCTTCCAAGACCCTGTCTGTATCTAACCTTGGTTATGATGGGTCAGTATTCTACACATTATTATGAGAAAAGAAAAACAAACAAAACAAAAAACAGTAAATAAGAAAGGTTTTTTACTCAAGCTTTCCCTAAATTATATCTCTGGGAAATAATGTAAAATACAATATAAAATGTTCATGACTACTTGACCACAGAAAAATACCTATCCACATGACAGTGGCTTTCATACATTGGATTTTAATCCCATTCACTCAAAAGATCAAGGATCAGTCTTAAGAAATAAAGCAATGATTTAATGGTGCTCAGACACTGGTATTGACCATTTTGATCTAAGAGTCTGTTCTATAAGGCAGTTCAAAGGGAGGTGGGGAATGCAGGAGAGGGTTTAAAATTCTCACAGAATACAGAATTTTTGGAACCACAAAAGCTGAATGAACTCCCGCAACTATTGCCCTGAGGTAATCTTTAAACTTCAAGCTTTAGATTAAAATAAAAAAATAAAATTCCTGATGTCTTCTTGAAACCAAACAATGGTTTACTTTAACCAGTAAAGTGTGACTGCTGTGAACTCCTGTTCTTTTAAGGTCTTTATAAATTGTCTTGATGACTCCTAACAAAAACAACAGCATAAATTGACTACGGTAACTTGGAAAGTTAGACAGCAAGTTTAGATGAAGTGAGTTAGTGATAATGGAGGAGAATGTGAGCTTATGTTAATGAGGGAGGAATAATTTGGAAAAAGAATGAAGATAATGGTACATCAACTCATAAAATGTAAGGAGGTCACTGAGTTGCACATGTAAAAATTGTTGATGTGGTACCTGTGTTGCTGTCTATACTCTCAGTAAAAGACAAAATCATAATTAAAAATTCGAACAATTGCTGTTGAGATACAGACAACCTCTAGCCGACATTCCAGTGAGTTTTTGAAAGTTATAAATCACTTGGGAAAGATCGCTCATTTGTCTCCCTAGAGCCATTTGATGGATTTGAACCACCAGAAATGGATAGCCTTTGATTACGAGCAAAATTCCCTATGGACTAAGCCATCAGCCCTCCCAGAAAGTTTCAATTATGCTGCAGTTTTGAAAACAAGAGTGAGAGATCCCAATAGTCACTCCTGCTCTGTACCTTATTCCAGGGATGCCCTGTTTCTGGGGTGTAGAACTCTACTGGAGAATGGAGGTAGCATTTGATGTCGTTATCAACCAGGGAACATGCCTGGTGCTTCCCGTGTGACCTTGGTGCCCGGCCCTTGCAGTCCGGAGGTTGGCAGTGGAAAGCTGAGGTCTGGAGAGGGAACAATTACATTTCAATCTCTTTAAAGACTGTCAACTTTAGGGCATTTCTCATACATGTCTGTGTACAAAACATCCATGCACCCAGAACTGTGCATTCTTTGCCTGGGAAACTGAGTAGGAAGTTTCCTGTACAACACATATTCAAAAATATGATAATCTTGGAAAAACTATGGCCCTCCTCCCTCACAGGATGTGGCAACACAGACCTGAGCCTCTGTTCAGGGGATCCTGGGAGCCATCAGAGAGCCAACACAAGCAAGCCTGTTGTCCACGTCCCACTGTGTCCTATTTGTCATAAAGAGCATGTTCAAAGGGAAAGAAGAACACTGCAGCTCCCATGGAAACATCAGAACTGTCGCTGATGTCTTGGAATTGCATTTATTTCCTTGGTCCCTCTAAATCATTTCACTCTATCAACTGCACTCCTCTAAAAAGTCTTACATGGAGGGTAGGGTGAATGGTGAGGTTCTAACCTCTGGGTCCACGTTCCAGGCCATCTCATGGAGGGAAGTTTTGTGAGGGCTCTACTCGCACCTTGAAGCTTTGCAACAGTCAGGAATGTCCTCACAACAGCTTGGATTTCCGAGCTGTGCAGTGCGCAGAGTACAACAGCAAAGAGTTCAGAGGCTGGCACTACAAGTGGAAGCCCTACACCCAAGTAGAAGGTAAGCCCCCACCTACGCTCACTACCAATAGCCTCCCATGGTCTAATTGCTATTCGTGAATGGTCCCCGCGATTGATAGGGTGGTTTTCAAATAGACCCCATGTCACCATGTGAGGTCACAGATGACCTTGTAGTTAGTGCAGAATTGGTTCATGGAGTTCTGGTGGTGTAGTAGGTTAAACATTGGGCTGTGGACTGAATGGTTGACATCTCGAATCCACCAGCCGTTCCTTGGGGCATAGATGAGGCTATGTTCTCCCACTAAGATTCACAGTGCCAGAAGCCCAGTGGAAGGTTTCCATGGGTTGGATCTGATTCGGTGACAGTTAATTTTCAATTTGGGGTCTGGGGTTAATTTGATTTCACAAGCCCTTACTTATTGTCCTCTTGCCTAACCTTGCCCAAATTCAAATGTATGATGAAAAAGTCGCAAACTAATGGGGAATGTGTGTAAAACATGAAGGAAATAATATGAGAGACATAATACAAAAATTCAAAATAATACATTGTAAAGGGATCCTTTTTTAGTGAAAATCACAATAGTGGATGAGGATATTGCTGGAAACATGCCACCTACTGAATATTTATAATTATCAAGGAAAGAAAAAAATTATTTTTAGAAGATCAAATAATTCTCAAGTATACTTGGAAAGTCTTGATCTATCACTATGAATTGGATCTATGTGTTATGTACACAAGACTTTCACTCTCTAAAAGAAGAGAAATATGTTTTTATAGTTCCAATAAATTGATGTTTCTAGGTGAGTAGCATAATTTAAAGAGGAATTCAAAGAATACTTAATCATTTCATTATTTTAATCTGGGAAAATTGCCAAAGTAAATGGATGAGACATTCAGAAAGTGCTTAAATTAGAGTGGCAAATCTGACATTTTTCTCTCATCATTCCAGTATGTGCATGTTATTATGGTAGGAGGTTTCTGACAATAGGAAACTCTAGAATGAAAAAGTGTGGCAGTTTTGGTTGTACTTTTATTCCTAAACTCAGTAAAATTTTATGTCCATCAGAAAGTATGAGGAATTTTATGTCCATCAGAAAGCAGGAGGAATGAAATAGGCTCTTTGGAATTGCAGTGATTAAGTGTTGGTCTGCTAACTGAAGAGTCAGTGGTTCAAGACCACCAGCTGCTCTGTAGGAGAGAGATGTGGCATGCTGCATCAGGAATGATCTACAACCTTCAAGCTGATCTCGCCTGCTACATGGTGTTGTGTTGTTGTTATGTGCCCTTGAGTCACCCACTACTCATAACAATCCTATGCACAACAGAGCTCTGAGCGCTGCCTTATAGGATCCACAATTTTTTCCACTGTGATTCTGACTTATAATGCCCCTGTAGGACAGAAGAGAACTGTCTCATAGGGTCACTGGGAGTTAGAATCAAACCAGTAGCAACTAGTTAGGGGTTTAGACATGAGATGAAAGTAGAAAGAGCTGCGAAACTAAGGTCAGCAAAACATACGTGCTGCTTCCAACTTTGACACTCTTTAGTAACTATATGCATTAATCATTATTTAGATGGATCACTTACCTTACACAATACGTATCTGTAGATGATGAGTCAGCCTATGAAAACTCCTAGGCCCATAAAAAACTTTTGTTTTCCAGTAGTTCTCTTCTTTACTAAGGTGAAGACTGAAGGTTTCCCTTTCTAAAAAGTTTCTTATTAATTACAGCAGCCCTGTAACACCAATTGTAAGACCTCAGCTACAGAATGAAAGTTGGATGTTCAAACCTATTCAAAAACATATTGTAGGAAAAGTCCAACAATTGATCTACTCCCAAGAAATGAGCCACCGAAAATCCTATGGTGTAGAGTTCAATTCTGATATGAAGTGTGGTCACCAATTCAACAGGAACTGGGTTTTGTTTTGTTTGCTTGCTTCTTTCCTTCTATTGTTTTTTTTTGGGGGGGGGCATATTCTCGTGGCAACCCTATGCATTATAGACCCTTGGAATGAATCACCAAGTAAATTACCTTGTCCTGCTAATCTAAATATATTAAAACCAAACTTATTACTGTCGAGTCAGTTCCAACTCCCGCCACCTTCTCTCACATTGCAAGGCTGTAAATCCTAATGATCACATACTGCTTCATCCTTTTCCAAGGAGCAGCTGGTAGATCTGAAGCACTTACTTTTCAAACAGCCCAACATGTCATGCACTAACCTGTCAGGACTCCTTCCGATATATAACAGTGCCAACAATAATGTGTCAACAAGTTGGAACCGACTCATGGCTGCCCTCCAGCAAGTTTTCAGAGGCCGCAACTCACATGGGAGGAGATTACCCATCTTTCGCTAACAGAGCAATTAGTGGATTCGAACCACATGCCTTAGGGTTGGCAGCACACATTGCAAGTCACTAAGCCATGAAAGTCTTAGCCAACAGCAAACAGCAGGACTTGGGCAGTGACAGAACCTGTTGAACTATTAACTATAGTTTTATGATTAAAGCATTCCTTAAATGTGTTTTCACAATTATTCTGAATATTTAGCTCCTTTAACAGGACCTGTTGTTGTTACTGTGTGCCAGAGAGCCAGAAATCAACTCATAATTGACCTTCCAGTAGGTTTTCAGAGGCAGTAAATCTCATGGTAGGAGATTGTCCATCTTTCTCCCACGGAGCAGCTGGTGGATTCAAACCACGTGCCTTAGAGCTGGCAGGACACATTCTTACCACCACGAGGATACCAGAGCTCTCTTAAGAATGCCTAGTCTCCATATATTAATTTTTTGGGATTTTTAAAAATATGAAACAATGGTCACTGGTGATTTTGCTAAAAAGCTAATAATCTTTATTCAGTTAAAAATTTTATATATGTTATCAAATGCGTTAGCTCTGAAGGAATTCAGTCATTATATTAATATCTTGTTCTATTTTATTTGTAAGGGTGACATTGCTACAAAATGGTCGTGGCTTTTTTGCATTTCTTCAAGATAGTAGTAAATTAAACTAGGAAAAAGAATTGATGTTCTAGTTAAAGTTGATTAACCTTATAGTCCAAGTCAACAAATATTTATTAAATGCCTACTATGTGCCAATCAGTATATAAAGAGGAAGGTTCAGAAAGACATTGAAGAGTAAAAATTCACGGTGAATCGTTTCCAATAAATGAGAACAATTAAAAAGAAAAGCAAAACCTAATCAGACATTTTTTTAAAAATGTCTTAGTTATAAATTCTTGTGTGAAAATTATTTTCTGGAGACAAAAAAGAGAAGAAATAGAAGCTAAATCTGTCTAAAATTCAGAGCAAACTAATCCGAGCTTAAGTATCTCTCTCATGTGTGTTTGTGTGTGTATTTCTTTTTAAGATCAGAACTTATGCAAACTCTACTGTATCGCAGAAGGATTTGATTTCTTCTTTTCTTTGTCAAATAAAGTCAAAGATGGGACCCCATGCTCGGAGGATAGCCGTAATGTTTGTGTAGATGGGATATGTGAGGTAATAATGATCCTTCATTCATTCAACAAACATTTCCAGACCGTCAGCTTTGGGTCAGGCCTTATGTCCTTAGCTAAAGAGACAAGGTGGATGGGCAATTGAGTCCCTCACCCTCCAGGTCAGAACTAGTGGGGGAGAAAGCCAGAAATGACATACTGTGGGGCATTTCAATGATGAGGATGAGGAGGGCACAGTTAGTCTGTGAGATGTAGGTATGGGAGATTCTCATGGTTCCACACAGAGGACAACTTCAGATCTCAACCTGGCAAGAGTAGTTGGAAGAGATACATTTCAGGAAGCTGATTGGGTGGTTGTACTATGAGTCATCAGAGTGCTCAGAGGACAAGGAGGAGCATGGGACCCTGAAGGTGAAGCAGGATACAAAGAGTCTCCTAGCAACTTCATTGCCAGACCGCCAGGAAGGAGACTTTAGAATAGGTACTGAGAATGAGGATTGTAGAGTATAAGGGTGAGATTTCCATAACTAGGCAATGGCCTGGAGAAACCATGGAAGCAGGGAGTGAGGAGCCCCAAGATCAATACCCCCCAAGGACAGTGGCCTGGAAGTGTTATCTTTTACTGGAGCCATGTAGGTGGAGAGAGATGATGGGGACAGCCTGGAACAGACTTTGCAGCTGAGCACAAAAAGTGGTGAGGTTATGCTGAGATGAGAAATACAAGGGATTTTATTACAAACTAAATTCAGGTTCAAATCCATTGCATGTTAATGGTGTGTTTTTTTAAGAAGGATGGTACTCAGTGGACATATTCAGTAGAGTCAGCAAACTGCAGTCCTGTTTTCTTTATTAAAATGGATATCCATGGTGACTTCAGTTGTCCACTGAGACTCTTAGTATAACTCTTATACTGTGTGGACATTAGGATTTGTGAACCTATTAAGATGGCTCTCCACTTTCAAATGCTCCCATCTGTATATCTTTGCATAATTAAATATTGATTAGTTAAATATTTAACTACTTGTGGTATTTTCTCAATGAGACAGAATCACAAAAGTCATAACTCTGAAATCCCCAGAAAAAAATACAACTTGAAGCTGATAGAGGACTCACTTGGCTATAAAATATAAGCTGCTCTGATTTTCTTTGGCCATCACCATCAGGCCTGAGACCATTCATTGGTCTGTTTTACAACCCTGAGTATGCAGAGGTACACACTTCATATAGAAACAGGAATATGTGTTATTATGGGATGCTATCAGGGGCTTTGGTGGCTGCTCCCATGATATATATTATATATACCTTCACTGAATGTCTTGAGTTCTGAAATACATCAAGATTTCTAAGGTGTTTTTGTGGACTGGAGTTATTAGGTGTTTGATTCGATTTGTTGTTGTTGTATTTTATAGACTATACACATTGTTGAGGGAATTCTGGTAGTCTAGAGTTAAGGAGTTGCACTGGCAACCCAAAGGCAGGTAATTTGAATTCACTGGCTGCTCTTCTGGAGAAAGTGGGAAACTCCTCCTGTGTCCTGCTGGAGGGTCACCTATGAATTGATGGTGCATAACCACAGCAATAACATAAACCTTGCTGCAGAGCCTTGATGGTGCAATATTTCAGTGCTCAATTACTAACTGAATGGCTGAGCATTTGAACCCACCAATGGCTCTATGCCGAGCTGCTCCCATAGGGATTACAGCCTGGAAGGCCCTTTGGACACTTGTGCTCTAACACCTGAGGTCACTGAGTCAGAATGGATTCAACTGGTGCCCAACTACAACCACAGGTCCTGCTTATTTCTCATATGATACATACTAGACGCAGGCCCTCTGATTCTGAAAAGTGTCAAGGTGATACATAAAACGATGCAATTATTTTGTGTTTTAATAACATTTTTAGTAATATTTCACAGAATATGCTCTTTGGCCTTGTATTTTAAAGAGCTTTTGGGCCCGAGGGCCTGGTTTTTGTGAATCTCCCAAATAAAACCGTCTTGGAAGCACTTCCCAAAAAAAAAAAAAAAAAAAAGCTTGCCTCCAGAAACTCTATGAACTTGAGAAAGCTGAAAATTTTGTGTCCAAGACTTTTTCTCATAGGGTTGCTATGGGTCATCTATGACTCTACAGCACTTAACAATAACAACATGCTCTTTGCTGAACAAAGGGGAAACCCCATTGTTTTCATTGAGTTTCTTATTACTCCTAATGATCCTGTATGACAGAGCAGAACTGCCAATGGGATTCCCATAGGGCTAGGTCTTTACAGAAGCAGACTGCCTCACCTTTCTCCTGTGGAGCAGCAAATTGGTTTGAACTACCAACCTGCTGATTAGCAGTCAGTTTAACCACTGTAACACTAGTCCTCTTACTAGGAAATGTGAAAAAAAAAAGGGGGATGGATCCTGGGAACATGACAGCGCTCCTGAAATTCCAAGACATTGCACATGTACATCTGATTTACTTGTGGTTCAGTGTCATTGGGTCAACTATGACTCATAGCAACCATATGATTTTCATGGAGCATCCCTAGCTTCTTGCCAGTGTGTGAGGTATCTGTCCAGTGAAAGCTTGTGTGGACCATTAGTGGTCATTATCTCAAGCTCTGCTTTCAATCTGGGGCTCATCTGTGTCTCTAGCAAGCCTGCCTGAAAGATGTCATGTGAGACAAGGGGCACAGCATCAGTTTCAAGGTTCAAAGAGTACAAGTTTAGCCTTACTGTGCACATATTGGGTATCCAATAAATATTTGTTAATGACATTATGTTGGTAATTTTTAAATTTTCATGGGGAGGAGATTTTCTGCTTGTAGGTTGTGACCTCTTTGCTTTGTGTTGTCCTTTCTTACATGAACGGCGTGTGACACTGTGGGGTCTTCCAGAGAGTTGGCTGTGATAATGTCCTTGGGTCAGACGCCACCGAAGATGCCTGTGGTGTGTGTAAGGGAAATAACTCAGATTGCACGATTCACAAAGGACTCTACACCAAGCAGCACCACACAAACCGTGAGTGTATCCCAACCCTCTGCCAGCTTAATGAAAAAGATTGTTGTTGTTAAGTACCAATAAGTCGAAGATGTCTCTGATCAACCCTGTGGAAAACAGAGCTGAACTTTTTCTTATCTTGCACCATTCTTATCATCCTCTACATATTTGCTTCCATTATCACAGACATGGTACCAACCTATCTCTTTGAGGATATTCCTCTCCTTCACTGACCCTCCATCTTTATTATTATTATTAATTTTAAAGAAAATTTACAGAGACTTTGGATTTCCATTCATTCTTTGTTGCGTTTTCCTCCCTGCCCACCCTTCTTCCCCTCCAGTACACTCTTCTCTTTGAAAAGTAAAAGAAAAATTCTTGTGTTAGTCTCTCCCCCCGCCCCAGGTCCAATCCACTATGCAACCTTCATTCTGGACTCCTGTAATGACAGTATTATTAATCACATATCCCTTTCAAACAGTTCTCTCCCTCATCTGTTTCAGTGCAGTATACATTATTTATCCCATCTTTCTCAGTCTCCACTCAACCCCGAGGTCAGTCCTGTTTTACAACTATGCAGTATTTGTCCTTTTGTGACTGAGAAATTTCACTCAGCATAATGTCTTCCAGGGCCACCCATTTTAAATAATATTTCATGAGTTCCTTGTTTTGCAATGCAGCGTAGTATTCCATTGTGTGAATATACCACAGCCTCTCTCTGCATTCGTTTGTTGATGGGTACTTAGGTTGTTTCAAACTCCTTGCTATTGTGAACAAAGCCATGATAAACATGGGTGTGCATATATCTGCTTGGGTGGCAATTATGGTCTCTTTGGGGTATATTCCCGGTGAACTGCCATCTTTCAAGCATGATGTCGCTTTCCAAGGAATAGCTCTCTCAACAAAATGTCCAAAATATGTTAAGACAAAGCCTCACCATCTTTACCTCCAAGGAACATTCTGATTGCACTTTCCCAGAGACATATCCTACAGAGAGGCACTGAAATTTTCTTGGGAGATGGGCTTGAACGTGATGGGCTCAGCGTGATGCAGGCAATGACCCTGTAAGACTCTTAGACCTCTGGTCACCTAATGTCTTCATGAGCTTTGCTTCTCAAGTTTTTGTTTGTTTTGTTTTGATTGGAAATGACTTCAGGTTACTTGACAGTTAGTAGTTCTTAAGAACCCTGAGAGGTACAGTCTCTCTGCTCCACTATGGAACTAGCATAAATAATCATCAGAACAAATGCCCCAGTACCAAAGGTGGGTGTCCAAGCTATCTGTATGGGGACTCTGGGCTTCTCGGAGCTTATGTTGTGGCCTTATTGGATGATGTACAATGTTCTTTTGTCTCCCCCATGTAGAGTATTATCAGATGACCATCATTCCCTCGGGAGCCCAGACTATCCGCATCTATGAAATGAACACATCCACCTCCTACATTTCTGTGCGCAATGCCTTCAAGAAATATTACCTGAATGGACACTGGACTGTGGACTGGCCAGGCCGATACAAATTTGCCGGTGCTGCTTTCAACTACAGACGGCCTTACAACCAGCCAGAGAGTCTGACCTCAGCTGGCCCAACCAATGAAACCCTGATTGTGGAGGTAGCCCTGCATTTTGGTTTCAGCATATAGGCTGAGGGCATCACAGGGTGTTTTCATAGATTCATGATTATTACCTTAATTCCATGTCCACAGAAAAGTGTTAATGTAACCAGATCATGCACAGGCATGGATCCATGTATAGGTTGAATAGGATAATATCTTTACCTGTGGCCAATCATTTGGATTCAGATTTGTGACACCTCTGTGTTTAGAGTGAACTTTGCTCCAGAGTCTTCTTGACTGTGACCTTTGCAGACAGACTGCCAGGACTTTGCTTCCATTATGGGTTCAAATTGCCAACTTCTTGATTAGTAATTGAGAGTGAACCACTGACATTCCCTAAAGCTTTGCTAAGGGGGTGTTACTATTCAAAAATTATCTATGAGCCATTATGATCCATAGTAACCTTATAAGACTGATATCTATCTGCCCCACAGGACTTCCAAAGCTATACATACTTACAGAGTCACACTGTTCCATCATTCTCATACGGAGTGGCTGGTGGTTTCAAACTCTTCACCACTTGGTTAACAGTCAAACATCTAGCTGCTGGACCACCAGGGATCCTTGAATAAGGCAATAGACATTTGGTCACCATCTATCATTTTTTAGTGCAAGACTACATTTCTTATTATGCATTTGCAAGTGCTGCATTTGCATGGTTTGAGGCCCCTCAATTTTCATAGAATTTGCTTCTCCTGGGAGTTCCGCAGCTGTGAGAGATTGATGGCTGCTTTTCAATACCTGTCACATTGATTAGGTTGCAAAGGCATAAATGTTGTGTGAAGGGAGAAATAAAGTGCAAAGCCAAAAGGGGGGAATTATTGATGAACTTTTTCTATAGATTCTTGAATATAGGCAAGGTCACCCTTAAGAAGTTGTTAGAAATTTTGGCAAGAAAGCATGGCATTTTATTTATCATTGTGGCTAATTTGTTGTTGAGGGTATTATTATTTCAAATAGTCTTAAACAAATAGAAATAGAAATAGAAACTTGATAATAGATAGATAGAATAATTTATATAATTATTGTGTGAATATATATAATCTCTAAAATTTGATTTATCTCTTTTTTTTTCTTTCAGCTTCTATTCCAGGGGAGGAACCCTGGCATTGTCTGGGAATATGCAGTGTCTCATCTGAAGGGTGACAAGGATCCTAGTCCCCAGCCCAGCTACTCATGGGTCATTGTCAGATCACAGTGTTCTGTCTCCTGTGGCGGCGGTAGGTCACGTCTCATGTCTTTCCAGAGGTGGGCACATGGGCAGGATACTGCTGTATCCTGTAGATGGGTAGATCTTATCTTAAATCCCCTAAAGGTAGACATGTGGGTCACTCCCCAAAATGATTACTGAGTAATTGCAAATCGACTAATTAGATATAGGGAACAATTATCACACTGAGAGTCTCTGGAAGAAATCAACCCAAAATCTACTTGCTAATTGTTTACCTAGGGGTCTCTGGTGGCCTAGTCCACAAGGCATTGTGGTGCTAATCCCAGGGCTTCACCTGTCTGGCAGTTTGAATCCATCTCCAGGAGAAAGTGTCCTCTCTATCTTTTGGTTCTCAGAGTTTCCTCATACAGAAACCAAGGCTAAAATGGCACATTCTTGGATCTTCTTTCTTGGTTGTACTGATATAAGTTACATTCCAATAAATTGCATTTTCTATAAATTACATCTTCAGAGATACTTGCCAAAAAAAGACCATAATTTGGGGTCCTAGTGTTAAGACATCAGCATGCCTGTTCTGGAGGACACACATATCCTCCGGATCTGTCCATTTCAGTAAACTTCTCATTCTCAGCATGTCTGCTTCATGTTTAAATCCTGTCCACATCTGGTGTCCTTTCTCCTGAATCCTTCTGCAATGCTGTGGGTGTATGTGCACACATGTGGACTTCAAGTTCTATAAAAAACTCCGTCTATCAAATGTGAGGCCGTGAGAACATGTAATAAGCACCTTCAGCAAGCGTAGCTGCATGCCCTCTGTCACCATTAGTCAGTTCAGAGTTGACAAGAAAAGGGTGAGGTGAGACCTGTACCTGTTCAAAAACGGTTTATGATTCTGATCAGATACATTTGAGGATGCCACAGGCTGTCCGTAATGTTCATCGCCACTGCCTTCCCTCAGTGCCTGGGGCATTTATGTGTTTATACTCTGATGGGTTTACCCCAGCAAAGGTGCCATTTAAATGTATCTGGGAATTGTTTTTACTATAGACACTCCTAGCTGTTTCTCAAATCTTTCTATTCTGTGCTCTGGATTCATAAAGTCTATGCATTATCTATTTAGAAAGTACCTAGATGTGACACTGGAAATTAGGCATGCCTCTCCTGAGACCTCATGGATGCACTTGTAAAATGTTCTCCAGTTCTTTCTGGATAGTGATAGTTTGGCTTAAATAATTATTGAATTCAGTGTGTGTGTGTGTGTGTGTGTGTATGCTGTATCATATATATATA